CTCAGCTCATCGGTCCAGCTTTTCCATGTGTAACAACGCCTGGCTTGTACACGTGCTATTTCAATGATGATAATTTTTATTAAATTTTCTGTTTTACAATTCCAAATAAACGTTTTACGAACTTTAAAATATCCAATGACTTCCCCCTTCTTCTCTTTCCACGGTTCATTTTACATATCATACATCCCTGCATATTTTACTATGACCATTCAAATCAATTTCCATCAAAAATTACTTATCTTAGTGCTGCCAGCGTTTTCAGCCGTATATTTTCGATGTTTTCCAATCTTCTTTAAACATATGTTCTTCTTGCTCTCTTATTCTAGATCAGGCATAGGCAAACTTGGCCCTCCAGATGTTTTGGGACTCCAACTCCCATCATCCCTAGCTAACAGGACCAGTGGTCAGGGATGATGGGAATTGTAGTCCCAAAAACATCCGGAGGGCCGAGTTTCCCTATGCCTGTTCTAGATGTTAAATCTGCAAGTTGCGCACATTCTGTCAACTTAGGTTGCTAGTTCTCTTTGGTTGGGACCTTGCTCACTTAAATGTGCTGCTTCCGGGTCATGTGGCCAGCATGACTAAGCCGCTTCTGGCGAACCAGAGCAGCGCACGGAAACGCCGTTTACCTTCCCGCCGGAGCGGTACCTATTCATATACTTGCACTTTGACGTGCTTTCGAACTGCTAGGTGGGCAGGAGCAGGGCCCGAGCAATGGGAGCTCACCCCGTCACGGGGATTCGAACCGCCAACCTTCTGATCGGCAAGTCCTAGGCTCTGTGGTTTAACCCACGGAGCCACCCGTGTCCTTTCTAAAATTCTATGAGCGTTGTAATATTTAGGATGTATATCAAACAAGCATGTGTGTGTGTTTTGAGATTTTTGAAATGTATGGATAATGGAGTGGAAGAACTGGACATTGCTTTGGTTGAGGGTTGGTTTTTTTTACTAGATGACCTCAAGATGCTTCCCACCTCTACGATTTTTGATCGTATTGATCTGTAAGTCACCCCGGAGCCTCTGCCCAAGACCCTGGAGAGCCAATGCCAATCAGTCAAGGCAATACTGAACTGAGATGGGCCAAAGGTCCGATTCAGGATAAGACACCCACAGACATTCAGGTTTGTAGGTAAAGGTAAAGGGACCCCTGACTGTTAAGTCCAGTCATGGCCGACTCTGGGGTTGTGGCGCTCATCTCGCTTTATTGGCCAAGGGAGCCGGCGTACAGCTTCCGGGTCATGTGGCCAGCATGACTAAGCCGCTTCTGGCGAACCAGAGCAGCGCACAGAAACACCGTTTACCTTCCCGCCGGAGTGGTACCTATTTATCTACTTGCACTTTGACGTGCTTTCGAACTGCTAGGTTAGCAGGAGCAGGGACCGAGCGACGGGAGCTCACTCCGTCGCAGGGAACTGAACCGCCGACCTTCTGATCAGCAAGTCCTAGGCTCTGTGGTTTAACTCAAAGCGCCACCCTAAATCCCTTTATAAAAGTGCCCCACTTGTTCAAGCTTGATGAAAGGCAATACCTCAGTATTCAATATGCACTAAGCCACACCCCATGATTTAAAGCCACTTTTTATTATTCAACATTTTATACATAATAAATACAAAGTTTTACAGCCAATATAAAGAAAGCATTCAAAGTTCTGCTTTCAAGTGTACTGTCGGTGTACACAGTGATATGTTCTATTGCATGCCCTGTATGAAGTTTAAAAAGGAGGTGTATTTTCACAACTTTTATTTTTTAAATAAAAATTAGCAGCTCTTACAGAAAATATTTTTAAAATATAACTAAGAAGATTTTTTTTTATTTTTTAAATAACACTTTCTGAATTTTGAGAGTCTGGGTAACACACACACAAAAAAATATGCGGGGAGACTGGCCAACCAAATGGAACATGTTGATATTATTGGCAACGTTTTTCATGAAGCATTTTAAAATGTATGCAGTACAGCTCTTTAAAAAATTGGATTTGTGTTGTTTTTTTAAAAAAACTTAAGAATAAGTTTGATAAACATTTTTTTTAAAGACCTCAAACAGATCAACAGGACAGAATTAGCAACCCCCCCCGCAACCCCCCCACCCCCTCCCCAAAAAAATTCTTCACAGGAAATCTGCCAGATATTTGGCAATTGCTGCAGAAGGCGCTATTTTATGCTTCAAACACCTCCTCCCTTGCTCAGGCCAACCAAACGAAAGGGAAATAAAAAATTGGCAAAAACAGTCATATGTCCAGAGACCCAGCCAAGATTATTTGTGCAAAGTTTTAAGATGAAAATCTCGTCAAACGGTTTCACGAAATGCAGCCACGGAATTAAAAAGGAAGAAAAAAAAAGGAAGATGTACTCCATTAGGCAACAAAGTGCGGAAACGGATTCTAGGTTTTACTCGCTTTGCAGGGGGGGCCGGGGTGGTTGGTTGGAGAACGAACGTACAAGAGCTCTTTCGACAGGACTGACGTTTCAGCTCCGAGAACATTTCTGTAGGTGGTTTTTTAAAAAATATATATCCCAGCCCTTTGGTTGGAAACTACTTGGGACGGAATTTGATTCAAATGGTTGCCCCTTCTTCCTTTTCCCTCTTGAGTATTGCCCCTCAGAGACTAATTCCACCCAAAATACATTTTCTCCCTCTTATTTGACTGTTATCAACTACAAAACGACCGCCTCTCTCGAAAGTCGCAAGTGGGTTTCGCTCAGAGAAACCGGGGTTTGGAAGGGGCCTCTCTGCTGCGCTCCCCCTTGAGAACATCTACTTTCCGCCCTCAAAAGTGGGGCGAAGGAGCTGGCAAGACCCCAGGGATGGCTTTTTGAGCTTGATTTGGGGTGGGCATGGTTGCCATTCCCCTGCCCCAAGTGCGGAGAGAGAGAGGCAAGACGGAGGCCTTGTTGTCGATTTCTTTTGACCCAGTGCCATTTCCTCTGCCAAGCAGGTTTTTTGCAGAGCTGGCTGGGGGTGGGGAGATTATTCGAAAGCCTTTTGGAACAGAGGCGATAGCTGGACAAGCAAAACGAGTGCTGCACGCGGGAGGCGGCAACGGCACCGCCGTGCCTCTTTCAACGCCGTTGGGGGCGAGGAGGAGAAATCAAAGGACTGTCCGTCTCCAGCCGACACCACCGCCGCTGCCCCCCGGGTCTGAGGCTGGCCGTTGGGCTTCGCGCGGCGTTCTGAGCTAGCACTACCCAAAGCTAAAGCTAGACACCACACGTCAATATTCTAAACATTTAAAACTTCTTCACTCTAGCCGGATGTTCCAGTGTCCAAAATATACTGCTAATGTCAAGAGAGCGAACTACAGTACAGCAAGAACTGGGGCCGGGGGAGACACAAGTACAAAAGGACGGGAGGGTGGTGGGTTTGAGTGGGTGGGTGGGGGAAACCCTCTCAAAGAGGAAATGAACAGCTAGTTCCAGCTCTATGATGAGAATCCTGCTTATTCAGTTTTACCCTAAGAAAAACATGTCGTTGCTACTAAGTCAGCATTTCTGTGGTAGTAGATACTCTATTACTAAATGCACCGCATAAATATCAATACAAAAGGAACGTTCAGCGCTCGGGTTTCGCGGTTAATTACGAAAAGAGGTGCGCACGGAAGTAATTAACCCCAATAGGATCTGCAGTGCTTTTCTTTAGTTGTAGGATTGGGTTTTTTTTTTTGTTTTGTTTCATGTTTTGTTCGGGGCAGGGGAGAGAAAGAGAGAGACAGAGAGGGGGAGAGAGGAGCCAGCCTCTCCATTAACTTACACTTGTGTGCATCCCCTCCTCTATCCCATACATTCTGATTAATAAACCTAATCAGATAAGTAACGCTACTTGAATAGGAAAAAGAATTTTTTTTGACACATTCCTATGGCAACAGTAATATACTGTACTAATGCACATGGTTTATGTATGCAAGACTATGGGCTGGTCTACATGCCCAGCTTCCGCCTTGCAGAAATGTATTCCTGCGGTGACTTTCCGTTCCTGCTGAAGCCCGCAAGCACCGATAAAATTCGCCCCCATTTCCCTTGTCAAGAGGTCTCAAGGTGTCTGATGCGACGAGGAAGGGGACCTTAACTCGTGGTACTACACGCTGCAGCAGTTACGGGGAAGAGTCAACCTGCAGAACTGTTCCCGCAAGGGAAGCTGCGATCTGTAGACCGGCTGTAAGCGGCATGGAATGGGGAGCTCCCAGAAGCCTCCGCCGGAAACTGAGACGGCCAGCTTTTCAGCTGCAAAGGCGTTCCTCTGCTTGCTTTTTGTGCTAAAGGAGTAAGGATGGCAGATATATAAAGTGGAACCAAACAGCAACAAATTAAAAGGCACAAAATATTAATGACCGTGGGAAGAAGGGGCCACCGCCACATCCATGGCCCCGGAGAATCCTCCCGCTTCTCCTCAAGTCTTTTTAAAAAAAGTCTCTTCCATCATCATCATCATCATCATCATCATCATCATCATGCAAAGGTGCCCAAGAATGAGAGCTGACCAAACATCGCCAACATTTGGCCTTGATTGTAGCACTACTGCGCACTTCATCCCCGCTGGTCACACCAAGGTGATTTCAACATCCTCAATCTTCTCTGTCGGCCTGCGATGCTGCGTGGGAGGGGGAGGGGCAGCTCGCACCTGAAACAGTCAAAACAGAGCATGAGAAACCAACCTGAGCACAGAGCCAACCATGGACCTCATGCATGAAGTTTAAGAACAGAAGAGCTTGCTTAATAATAATAATAATAATAATAATAATAATAATAATAATTTATTTGTACCCCGTCCATCTGGCTGGGTTTCCCCAGCAACTCCAGGCAGCTTCCAACAAAGATTAAAAATACATCAGAATGTCACACATTAAAAACTTCCCTGAACAGGACTGCCTTCAAATGTTTTCTAAATGTCAGGTAGTTGTTTATCTCTTTGACATCTGATGAGAGGGCGTTCCACAGGGTGGGTGCCACCACCGAGAAGGCCCTCTGCTTGGTTCCCTATAGCCTCACTTCTTGCAGGGAGGGAACCGCCAGAAGGCCCTCGGTGCTGGACCTCAGCGTCCGGGCAGAACGATGGGGGTGGAGACGCTCCTTCAGGTATACTGGACTGAGGCCGTTTAGGGCTGTAACGGTCAACACCGGCACTTTGAATTGTGCTTGGAAACGTACTGGGAGCCAATGTAGGTCTTTCAGGACCGGTGTTATGGCCCACCTAAACCAGCATCCTGCTCTCCCAGTGGCCGACCAGGTGCGTGTGGAAAACCTGCAAGAAGGCAAGCACAAGAGCTCTCTTCTCCCCTCCTGCGGTTTCCAGCAACTTGTATTCAGAAGCATCGCTGCCTCCAACTGTAGCCATCATGGCTAGTAGCCATCAATAGCTCCCTCCACCACAAGCTGCCGCTGGTTGGGGTGCTCAGCAAAGATCTTGGTGGCTATCTCCCTATTTTACTGGAGGTGCACTTCCTTATTTACAGCAGCGGTGGCGAAGGGTGCCACAAATCAAGGGTAAAGTTACGAGATGCTTTGCCTATCGTGCCGGGAGAGCTAAATGGAGCCTCCCATCTATTCAGTCTGCTTCTGAACATGAGATGCTGTGGCCATAGCAACAGGACTACTGGGGAGCTTTTATGCAAGCAGGCAGCCAACCCCTGTTGGAAAGAGCGTGCTGGCCTAGCTAGATCTGTGGTCTGACTTAGAGCGACTCTTCTTAGGTTCTTCATGCATCTAATACATTTGGGGTGTGAAAGATTGGACGCCTCTCAGCATCACATCGTGGAAAGAGGGTGAGCTGCCATCCAACTCCTCTTCTACCCTCGCCCCTGGGATCTGCTGGACTGCTCCAGCACAGCCTTGATGGGGGAGGGGGGCAGGAAGAACATGGTCCTGCCATTATATACCACTTCCTGCACATGCTCCCTGCCAGCACTCAAAAATCTTGCAAGATTCCTGAGCCCCACGGAGTTACAGGACTGCACCACTGGCACCACGACAATTAACCTGGCATCACTTCCTGCATCTTCTGTCTCTAGGACAGCATCCTCGTTGCCAGGGCTGTGTGCCAATGCTGGCCACCGCTTTTGCTGCCACCACCGTGGCTGCTGGCATTGCTCAGGGCAACCTTTTTCTCTGGTCTACTGTACTGGGGAGCAGGAAGTAGAGGAACAGAGGAGAACAGGTGCCACAACCTAGCTTACAAGCCTCTTATCCAAGAAGACTCCGCTACCCATGGCAACCGAATCTCAGGCTGGCCACCAATGTAATGTAATGACAAAGTTCTGCCCAAAGGTGCAGCGTGCAACAGACTGTTTCTAAGCCAGTTTGTGTTTGGGCCCAGTGCAGTTAAGCTGTTGACTTTACCCCGCGATAGTCAGAGTAGCAACACTCAATTTCTGTAGCTCTGCGGTGCGTTTGGAAAACTTACTGGTCTCAGTTTGCCATACGAAGTGCTTTCGGGAAGAGGTCGTGGTGGCTGAGAGAACCCAGGAGAGTTTGCAGTGTAGCTGTTTTCTGAAACTGGTGGGGTTGGGGAGAGAAACAAAACAAAAACAAACGTATGTCAGGACCGGTGCAGCTGCAGGTCAGCACAGAGACGAGCAGTAAAGCCGATCCTTTATTCAAGGAAACAGAATACAAACAGATAAACCTACGGGCAAGACTGGCCCCTGTAAAGCAGTTGCCAGAACTGACAATCTGTGCCTCCCACTTCCCCCTTAGTCACCTCCCCGTCCGGCTGTTTTCCCAGCAGTCTTAAACTCTGATGGGAAGGGACTCGGTTGTCTTTGCTCTGCTCCACACAAAGCACTCTGTGCCTTTGTAGACAAGGGAGGAGGGGAGCCAAACACAGTAGGACTGGCCGGCTCTTGTGAATCTGTTGCAGCCTCAGCCCCCACCTCCTCCTCAGCTGCCTGTCCTGCGTCTGCAGTGCTTTCTGTCTCTTCTTCCTCTCTCTCACTCCAGCCTGTTGCTTGTTCAGCATCCAACCATTCTGCCCCACTCCCTTCAAACTCTGACCTGTCTTCAGCGTCCCCACCACCACCACTCCCTGGGCTTTGAGCCTTCCTCTTCTCCCACCATTCCTCCTCGTCCAGCCGGTCCCTGACAATATTTGCTTCTAGACGAAATCGGTCACACAGGCTGCACCACTGACATATGCTGAGTGGAAAACTTTAGGATTTCAAGCCTTGTGTAAGAACATTAATTTTGGGGAGACTTTTTTCTTTTGCAATGGAGATTCAGGAACTTCAGGGATGCGTGTTTTCTGTGTGGCCACATAAGAGAACAACACCTCATTCAAAATTTAACATTCTGAGAGTCTTTATTTTCTGGTTATCCACTGCCACTGCTGCCCTAGCTCCTGGTGTATGCAGGACTTTGAAAAGTCAGAAGGGCAAACCCCAGTGGTTTGCAGTGCTCCCTGCTACAACCTTACATTAAACCTGCTCCATCACCTTACAAAATTTGGCTATTCTCTCTTGCAGGGTACACAGAGACACCCAGGCTTTCATCTTACCGCCAGAGCTTTCATCTCTCTTACCATTTGTCGTTGGAGACCTTGGGAAATACTGGGAGCTTCTCTTATCAGGGCTGTGGAAAGGACTGGTTGGAGGCTGGTCATAGAGCGGCAGTGGCGCCAGAGAATTCTGGGGTGCTGGAGATGGAGATACCTGCAATACAAGGAATAAACAGTAGGAAGAGCTGCGACAAAGTAAACCGGGTAGTTTCTGCCTACAAAGAGTCGCGCCTGCATAATAGGTTCTTTTCAGGGTTATCTTAACAAACCATTTCAAACGACAGGAATAGAAGCATTCATTCATTCACCGTAATTCTGCGACTGGCAAAAATGTTTTGTTATTTATGAATACTATCCAAGACCGATTTGTCACAGTGATCGAAGGTGAGCAAACAACAAGTTAAAAGGATTACTTTGTAAGCTGCTTTTGGCTTCACGGGGAAAAAGGGAAGAAAGGCAGACATGCATTATGTAAACAAAAGCATAACATTTTTTTTTTTAAAACCCCAATGCACTGAAAACAAATTTAAAAGCAAGACACTGAAATTGAGATTACCGTATTTTTCGCTCTATAAGACGCACTTTTCCCCTCCTAAAAAGTAAGGGGAAATGTGTGTGCATCTTATGGAGCGAATGCAGGCAGGAGGCTCTGCTCAGCGCTCCCTTTAAAGAGCCGCGTGGAGCGTGTGTGCGGCTCTTGGGAGCTTTTCCCCGAGGAGGGAGAAGGGCAGCCCGTCAGTCCCTTCTTCCACCTCGGGGAAAAGCCCCCAAGAGCTGTGTTCCCTTTAAAGAGCCACGCAGAGCGTGTGTGCGGCTCTTGAGGGCTTTTCCCTGAGGTGGGAGAAGGGACTGACGGGCTGCCCTCTGTCCCTTCCCACACCTCCCGGAAAAGACGGGAAGAGACACTGTCAGGCTCTGCTCAGCGCTCCCTTGTAAGGGCTCCCTTCCGTCCCTCATCCCACTTTGCTGGGAAGCCAGCAGAAGAGGAACTGTACAGCTATCGCTCTTGCTCTGCTGGCTTCAGCGTGAGCTGTGCTGCTTGCTCTGCTGGCTTCTCAGTGAAGCGGGAGGAGGGACAGAAGGGTTTAAAGCAAGAAAAGTGAGAGCCGCTTACATGCTCTGCGCAGAATATTTTTTTTCTTGCTTTCCCCCTCTAAAAACTAGCTGCGTCTTATGGGGCGAAAAATACTTAAAAAGAGCGGAGATATAAAATATCAAGCTAGAAAAATATACCCTAAAAAGCAGAACGGAATGAAACAATTTTAGGGAGGCCAGGAGGGTTCATGTAGACCTCCTGAGGGAGATAACTCCACAGCTGGAGATAAGTTTCATGGGCACATCTGCATGGCATTTGCAGAGCTTCCCCCAAAGCTCCATGCTCATTGAGATCTCCCTGCGTACCAGAGAACCCACAGAGCTCTGGGCTACAGGCCTCTCCACCATTTAAGCAGTGTCAAAGGAGTGTGTGCCCTCGTGTGTGTAAATGCAGAATGGAGTTGCAGCCAAGTCCAGTTCCGTGGCGTGTAACTGAAAGATGCAAGTGGCCAAAAGCACGCCTTTGCCACGTGCGTGGTTTACAGAAGCAATGTGCTACAGCGGGGATCCGAGTTCGAATCCCCGCTTGTCTATTTTTTAAAAAAAACAAAACAAATGCGCAGACTGCTTCATAGTGCAAAGCGGCCGAAGCGGTGTGAAAGATAAAGGCCATAAAGTTCATTGGGTGTGTTTTCAGCCCATGCCGCCACACAGGAATAGCCCCACATGCATCACCCTTCGCTCCTTGGAGAAAGAGGAGGCAACAAACAAACAAACAAAGGAAAGACGTTTTTAATGTAAAAGAAAGCAAGGAAGCAAGTTCAACAATAAAAAGTTGACTCACTACCCCAAAATGAAGGTGCATTTTTCAGAAATGAACACACTAGGCTGGAACTGCAAGAACTGGCAATTCTCCTGCTGCCAAGCTCTGTTTGATCTCTCAATGTACCACACAGAGATTAATTACAGGAAGGAGACGGGGAACTTCCTTCTTCTGCCTCTTATTTCCTTTTTGCCCCTCACCACTCCTTTCATTCTTTGTGCAACATCTGCTGTTAACCTTTGCCAATGTTTGAAGCACGATTAATATTAAATGGACTCGGGCCAGGAAAGCTAAGGGCTGGGGCCTTCGTTTGCAATTCTCCAAAAACCTGCCATTTACGCTGGCATTTAAAGCTCTCACGAGCAGCTATTGCCCCGAATCATAGGGGGAAAGTCAGGATCAGGTGGCTGTTACAACTTCCACAAAGGGATCCCAGGGTTTTGATGAGCACTTACAAAAACTAAGGAGCACAGAGATACTGAAATAAGTGATCCTTACACGTTCTGTCGGCCCATAATGTGGTCTCGTCCTTGTAGAGCAGGCATGGGAAACCTTTTTGGCTCCACAGGCCAGACTCATCAGGGCTGGCTTCACAGGTCAAATTTGATTCATAGAATCATAGAATAGAATCATAGAGTTGGAAGAGACCACAAGGGCCATTGAGTCCAACCCCCTGCCAAGCAGGAAACACCATCAGAGCACTCCTGACATATGGTTGTCAAGCCTCTGCTTAAAGACCTCCAAAGAAGCAGACTCCACCACACTCCTTGGCAGCAAATTCCACTGTCAAACAGCTCTTACTGTCAGGAAGTTCTTCCTCATGTTTAGGTGGAATCTTCTTTCTTGTAGTTTGGATCCATTGCTCCGTGTCCGCTTCTCTGGAGCAGCAGAAAACAACCTTTCTCCCTCCTCTATATGACATCCTTTTATATATTTGAACATGGCTATCATATCACCCCTTAACCTCCTCTTCTCCAGGCTAAACATGCCCAGCTCCCTTAGCCGTTCCTCATAAGGCATCGTTTCCAGGCCTTTGACCATTTTGGTTGCCCTCCTCTGGACACGTTCCAGTTTGTCAGTGTCCTTCTGGTGGAGGATTGGTGGAGGGAGCTGCTCATCTGTCCATCACTTGATGTCACAATGACATTCAGGATTTCAAAGCACCTCGCAACCCAATGTTAAAACAAAGCCCCTCCCCCATTTTTAGTAGGCAATTCTGATGCAAACCCCTTCCTGGATCAGGAAGGTGGTGTTGTTGTTATTAACAATAACAACAACAACAATTTTATTATATATACCCCACCCATCTGGCTGGGTTTCTGCAGCCACTCTGGGTGGCTTACAGAACATTTGCATTGGTATCACCTGTTAAAATGAAGACTCCCCACCTTCTTATTTTAGCAGGGGTTCAGAAACGGGTTTACATGGGATCCTCTGCTAAAATGAGTGGGGGAGGGGAGGAACTTTTGTTTTAGGAGAGGGATTTCCATGCAAGCTCTTTCTGGAACCAGGAAGGGCTTTGCAACTTGCCAAGATGAACAGGATGGAACCCTGCTGCTTTGGCTGTGCACCTCTGTCCCCCCGATGGTGGCGCGCACATGTAGGTGGAGCTTCTTTCAAATATCACACCTCTGCTGGACGTGTCATTGTGCGGAACGCTGCAAGCAGACCTTTTCGAGAAATCCAGCAATCAAAGTTTGCCAGTGTTAAAGCAGTCTGCCACCTGGCTCCTGAGCTAGGAGAGGAAGAGATTAGCTCCCAGATACTTGCCTGCCTTTGTTGCAGCATTAAGGGCCCTCTCTGAAAAGCACAACTGTCTAGTGAAACAGGGGAAATGTGGCAATTGCTGATTACATTGTGGCTGAACAAGCCTTTGTCCAGTCCCATGCATGCCCTTTCAGGACACGGGCAAAATTCTTCCCATACCTGAGCATCCACAACGCACTGAATCTCTCCATTTTCCGAGGCGGTTAGCTCTTCTACTAGTACGGATGGGAAGACCCCGACACATCCGTTGAACTCCCCTTCCCAGAAGCCATCATCGTCCTGGTTTTCTTTGTTCAAGATCCGGATTATCGCTCCCTCTGGGAAGGACAGTTCGTCGTCTGTCTGTCCCTCGTAATCATAAAGTGCTTTTACAAAACATACTGGGAAAGAAATGGCAAATATCATGACACAAGAATTTGACAAGGCTTGAAACGTATTTTGGCTGAATGTGCTTCCTAGATCAGTTTCTGCTGGAATCCTAAGGGTGGCTCCTGGAGCTTTTCCCAGCACAGCTATACAGTGGTACCTCGGGTTACATACGCCTCAGGTTACATACGCTTCAGGTTACAGACTCCGCTAACCCAGAAATAGTAACTCGGGTTAAGAACTTTGCTTCAGGATGAGAACAGAAATCGTGCTCTGGCGGCACGGCAGCAGCAGGAGACCCCCATTAGCTAAAGTGGTGCTTCAGGTTAAGAACAGTTTCAGGTCAAGTACAGACCTCCGGAACGAATTAAGTACTTAACCTGAGGTACCACTGTACGACTTGGGGGGGTCATATGTAAAAAGAAGTGTTGCAAGTGGCTGAGTGTGCCCGTTTTGTTATTTACTTACTACAGTGGTACCTCGGGTTACATACTCTACAGGTTACATATACTTCAGGTTACAGACTCCGCTAACCCAGAAATAGTACCTCGGGTTAAGAACTTTGCTTCAGGATGAGAACAGAAATCGTGCGGCGGCAGCGGGAGGCCCCATTAGCTAACGTGGTGCTTCAGGTTAAGAACAGTTTCAGGTTAAGAACAGACCTCTGGAACGAATTAAGTATGTAACCAGAGGTACCATTGTACTTCAGTTTTATCCTGCCCTTCATTAGTTTATGATCCCAGAACGGGTTATAGAATACAATAAAAATATTCAAGCAGCAGGCTAAAACAATCAGTTTGGAGTCGTATATTAAACAGGCAAGTTTTCCGCCGCTGACAAAAGCTGGACAATGGCGGTGCTTGTGGGAGAGGTTTACGGATCATTTGGGCTACCATTTATCTTTCAGTAACACCCACAACGTAACTGGCTGTGCCTTTGCAAAGTATAGTTGTCGTATGCAGTTGCTGTATGCATATGAAAGATCTTAACATATGCCTTTGCAAAATATAGTTTCTGTATTTTGCTGTATGCAGGTATCAGACGAAAGAACTTAAGACAAGGATTCCCAGAATAATACCTTGTTTCACCCTGCTGGGCTTCTTCAGCATAGTATGCTCGGCTGTATGCAACTATACTTTGCAAAGGCATATGTGAAACATTACAAAGAAAAAGTTCATTTACTGCAAGTACTGCTCCTTAAAGTTGTTGCGTCTGACACTTGTATTTGTAAAGACATAAGTAGAACAGAGAAAAGCTTCTATTTGGACATTACGTACATAAGAACTGATCTATTCGTATTTCCTGTTCAAATGTTGGTCTTTAATTGCTTCTACTTAATTTGATAATGTGAAAAGAGGTATGATTATATGATGTATAAAGAATTCATATAGTTAAACACTGCCAGTTACATTGTGGGTGTTATTGTCAGTTGGATTTATGTAATTATAGGTTTGGTAGTGTTGTGTACCACTTATCTTTCAGCAAACGAATTTGTTCTTAAGCATTGCTTCCATTAACCCCAAACCTAATCCTAACCCGAACCCTAATCCCAACTCTAGCCCCAACCCTAACCCTCATCCCAACCCTCACCCCAACTCTAACCCTAACCATAACCCTAACTCTAACCCTAAATCCCAACTGTAACCCCAACCCTAACTCTAACCCTAATCCAACCCTAATCCCAACTGTAACCCCAACCCTAACTCTAACCCTAATCCCAACCCTAATCCCAACTGTAACCCCAACCCTAACCCTAATCCAACCCTAATCCCAACTGTAACCCCAACCCCAACTCTAATCCCAACCCTAATCCCAACTGTAACCCCAACCCTAACTCTAACCCTAATCCCAACTGTAACCCCAACCCTAACTCTAACCCTAATCCCAACTCTAACCCTAACCCCAACCCTAATCCCAACTGTAACCCCAACCTAACTCTAACCCCAACCCCAACCCTAACTCTAACCCTAATCCCAACTCTAACCCTAACCCTAATCCCAACTGTAACCCCAACCCTAACTCTAACCCTAATCCCAACTCTAACCCTAACCCCAACCCTAACTCTAACCCTAATCCCAACTGTAACCCCAACCCCAACTCTAACCCTAATCCCAACCCTAATCCCAACTGTAACCCCAACCCCAACCCTAACTCTAACCCTAATCCCAACTCTAACCCTAACCCCAACCCTAATCCCAACTGTAACCCCAACCTAACTCTAACCCCAACCCCAACCCTAACTCTAACCCTAATCCCAACTCTAACCCTAACCCCAACCCTAACTCTAACCCTAATCCCAACTGTAACCCCAACCCTAACTCTAACCCTAATCCCAACTCTAACCCTAACCCCAACCCTAACTCTAACCCTAATCCCAACCCTAATCCCAACTGTAACCCCAACCCCAACCCTAACTCTAACCCTAATCCCAACTCTAACCCTAACCATAACTCTAACTCTAACCCTAATCCCAACCCTAACCCTAATCCCAACTGTAACCCCAACCCAACCCTAACCCTAACCCTAATCCCAACCCTAACCCTAAGCGTTTGCCACCTGAAGGACTGGAGCTCATGGCAGAAGACCAGAAGTTGCTGGCACTCACCGCTGGAGTCTCCGTTGAGGCTCCCTGAGACCAGCTCGGCTTCCGTTGAATTACTAGAAGTGTGAGACCGACTGTCCAACGCTGCCAGTGATTGCAACATGCTCAGGAGACTGTTGGAAGTTGGGAACTGCAGGTACTTCTCTGGGACGTAGCCCACGTGGCCAGACTTGTTCCGTGCCTGCGGGAGTTGAGAAAACGAAAGGCTTAAGAGAAGGGGGCAAATGGATGGAGGAGCATATATATATATTCATACACCTTTCTGTCTTCTTTTCCCGTTGAAAAAGGGGCAGCCTACCACCCGCCACGGCCCTTTCAACATGCCACAACGACAGGAAAAGCAAAATGATACCTTTACCCAATCTTCCATATCTCCATCTTCAATAACTTCCAAAACTTCATGTTCCTCAATGGTTAACTCGTCTGGCTGGGAAGCCTGTGGTGAAGGAGGGAGATAAATATCTTGGCATGTAGATACTAAGGCTCAGGAAAACGCAACTTGTAATGGGTCAATCGTAGCAGGGGAAGGATCAAGGATGCCACTCCCTGGTTGACGCAGCCGTCAAGCGATTTCTTGAAATCTATTCACAAAGCCACTTCCGAGCTGGAGAGGAGGTGGGGTTGTGGGCTTCATGCCCTCCCCCCACGTGTTCGGGGGCTGGCTTGCAGCCCCCGCAAGATCGGAGAATCCTTGGACGCGTCATCTCCCTTGCCAGCCAATCGGCTGGCCCGGGAGCCGTGGCCTGCGCTATTTAGGGCTGGCGCGGCCGAGGATTTCCCTCTTTCTCCGCTCCAGCGCCCCAGCTGCTTCGGTTTCCCACCCTTTAGGTTTGGCTCTTTGACATTGCTATGGACTTTGATTGGTCGCCGTCAAGGGGCCTGGTAGGAATTTTTTTCCACTTGGCAAATTGGCACCAGCCATTTGGTTTTTTGCCTACCTCGTAGCAAATCATCACAACTTCCTCGGCATTGGCGGTTAGGCATTGGTAAGGGTACTGTTATACAGATGGGGGGCGGGGGGGAGGAAGCGCCATCACCTTCCCCCATATCGAAGGGCAGTCCGGTAAAGGATTCCAGGGGGCGTTGCCCTGTCCGAAGCCTATGGAGGTGTGGGCCTAAGGCACGCCCCTAGCGGTGACCCTGGGGGAGTTCCTAGTTGATGTCCATCAGCAGGACTCCCCCTTCTGGTGGTTAACCCTTGCTGGTCTTCAAGCAATCAGGTTAGACGATAGGACCAATGCCTAAGCCAATACCGCTCAATTCCTGTAATCGATAAAGTTGTGGCCTATTTTCGCCCATTAACCTAACATACTGGTGTCCTGTGTCTTTATTTCCGAGGGGGAGGCAGGAACTTGCCACGCAACTGAAAGAGTACCTTCTCTCATATGAACCAGGTGCAGTTAATTATCACACTTCCTAGAGACTTATTTCCTCAGGATGTGCATGCCCCCCAAAATTCACCTTGTATTTGTAAGCTGGTCATTAAAAAATAAATAAATCTGCCAGAAATGGAAGGTCCTACCAGAGAGGAATGGCAAACTAAGCTGATGGACTATGCTGAAATGGCAAAGCTGACTGGAAAACTCAGGAACCAAGAGGACAAAAACTTTTAAAAAGGGATGGGGGAAATTTATAACATATCTAGGAGACCACTGCAAGCAGATGGAAGCATTAGCAGGATTTTAATTTCACTTGTAATGTAACAGATACCATGGATAATTTGGATTGACATAAAATATAGAATATGGAATAATATGCAGTTGTAAATGTTGATAATAGGACCCATGGAGGGGGTTGGGCAGGGGGAAGTCGTGAGATTCAGAGTCATCTCTATATACGGATATGCATTTGGATTGTTATAATTTTATATTTGTAAAATCAAATAAAAATGATTTTTAAAAATCTGATCTGTTTATATGCCGCTCTCTGCTCCCTCTGCCTCGATATGTGTTCTGGATTTGAAGCCGCGCTGTAAAACGAAGCTCTGTGTTCCTCATTCTCTATAGCGGAGAACCAAAAAACGACCATAGCTTTTCCCACTTTTGGAAATCTCTTTGGGAAATTCAGGAGCTGCTCCTCTGAAAGGGGCCAGAGCCAGTGCAAAACAGTCCCTTCCTCCAAACGCAGTGCATTCATTCTAACCGAAACCTAGTGCTTCACACTGAGGTCTACTAAGGATGCTCTGATTTTGAACACAGTGGGAGCAGCTTCCCGCAGCAGCAGGGAGGCGTATTCGGCTCCCTGCTTCTGATTTGCCCTGCTGCCGCGACCATGCCCTTCAGCCGGCCAATAGGGCTGGCTGGTGGGCGGGGTTAGCTGCATTTAAGCAGCCGCGGCAGCGATCTGTCCCCAGTCTGTTCCTGCTGGCATTGGATCTCCCGCCCTCCCTTTCTTTAGGTCAGTTTCCTCAGCGGACTGACCTTGCTATGGACTTCGGCTGGTTGCCTCGGTTGCCCAAGGGACCTGGTAGGACTTTTTTTATCCGTTTGGCAAACTGGCACCAGCCTCTTGGTTTTTTCGCCTACCTCGCAGCAACTTGTCACAAGTTTCTGGTTTTAGCGGTTGGGCATTGGAATATGTGCGCTGTGTTGGAGGGCTGGGTATGCCCATAATCTACGCCTCCTCTTTTGGGTATTCCGTTAAAGGAATCCGGCGGCCGTGGATCCTGTCCGATGCCCTGCTGGTGGCTAGGGCCATGGCACGACCCCTGGTGATGTCATGGGGAAGCTTCCAGTTGTATTTGCATCAACAAGCTCCTCCCACTGGTTGTTAACCCTGAAATGACTCCTTGCTGAGTGGGGTGGAGTCATGTATTGCTGTTTTATCCAATGCCTAAGCCAATACTACTCGCATGCTGTAACCAATAAAGCTGTGCCCTTATTTTGCCCATTAACCAAAAATAATGTGTCTTTGTGTCTTATTATAATCCTATGCGGTCCAGTATATCTGAAGGAGCGTCTCCACCTCCATCGTTCTGCCCAGACACTGAGGTCCAGCGCCGAGGGCCTTCTGGCGGTTCCCTCGCTGCGAGAAGCCAAGTTACAGGGAACCAGGCAGAGGGCCTTCTCGGTAGTGGCACCCGCCCTGTGGAACGCCCTCCCACCAGATGTCAAAGAGAAAAATTACTACCAAACTTTTAGAAGACATCTGAAGGCAGCCCTGTTTAGGGAAGCTTTTAATGTTTAATAGGTTATTGTATTTTAGTGTTTTGTTGGAAGCTGCCCAGAGTGGCTGGGGAAACCCAGCCAGATAGGTGGGGTATAAATAAATTATTATTATTATTATTATTATTATTATTATTATTATTATTATTATTATGTGGGTGGTAGGTCCTCGACTCACAACAAGATCCCGCCCTTTTACATACCTTGTACGAGTAAACAACTTTGCAGGTCAACGGGTAGTTTCTGAGCGTACCAGAAGGACTGGAGCTGCTGTCGTCGAAAGCATCCATGCCATCTTCTAGCTCTTCCCCTTCTTCCTTTTCCATGTCAACATTTAGCTAACAGGAGAGAGATTGGAAGAGGAAAAACCCGTCACCATTATACCTACAACCTAAAGGGAACACCAGCAGGACACTTGCCAAGTGAGGATCCAAAAGCAAAGGCAGCAAGGGGACCGAGCTGTTGAGATAACAACCAACAACCATTTGCCAAGAAGCTGTTTAGGCACCACTGCTGCCCAAACGATTTCATTCTACCTTGGATATTATCCCAGCTGTGTAGTCAGTTATGAAAAAAGCACCAAATCAAAAAGGTGTGAATAGCCTTGTACGCCTTCTCCATGAATGAATTAGAAAAGCGACCGACAAGTTGGCCTGTGTGATCCTTCCCTCCTAAGGAAATTCACTCTCTCTCTCTCTCTCCTTCCCTCTTCTACGTACAGAAGCAGCTGCGCTACTTTGTGGATGGCAAACCTCTCTGATTGCCACGCACATGAATCTTCCGCCTCCTGTTCGGAAGCCCCGGGTTGCTTGCAGTACCTGCCATGTCTCAGTTTGACCATCCATGGAGAAAAGCATTACCGTATTTTTCACTCTATAGGATGCACTTTTCCCCCTCCAAAAATTAAGGGGAAATGTCTGTGCGTCCTATGGAGCGAATGCAGGCTCCTTGGCTTCAGCGATAGCAACGCGAAGCCTCTGAAGCGCAGAGGGAGCACTCCCTTCATGCTCCGGAGGCTACATGTCACTTTTGCTGAAGCCTGGAGAGCGAGAGGGGTCGGAGGGGTCTTGTTCTCCCCCTCTAAAACAAGGTGCATCTTATGGTCGGGTGTATCCTATAGAGTCAAAAATAGGGTAGTTTGTTTGTACGCGGGGAGAGGCTGTAGCACAAAGAGAGTCAGGAATCTCCTCTTTTTCTCCCGTCAATCGAAAAATCCTGGAAACAACTCTCTCCAGACAATCCTGGCTTGGCATCCTCAAAGGAACGGAATGTGACTGCTGACAATTTCACAGACAGTGCAGAGTGCTGCCAGCAAACAGAAATGGCTCTATTTTGCATTTCCTATCTTTTGGTGTTCCAGCGGTCTGGTCCTTACGCCAGCGTTTCCCAAACCTCTGATATCTGGGAGGACTTACAACATGACTTGAATTGAAAACTGGAGGCATGCTCTATTCTTTCACATTCTAAGCCCTTGGGGTCAAAACTTCTAGCACTTTCAAGTTTTGTAACCCACATGGCCTTAAGACAACTGTATGTTAATTACCCCTCAGTTTCCACACGAAGAGGCAATTGACAATCAGATTATCCAATGGATTTATGGACCCTAAATGCCTGAGAAGCTTCAGGCCAGGAAGTCGTGGAATTGGAGATCTCCTTTTTAAACCAAGAGGCTCTTTTGGGTTTACATGAATGTGTGGGAAAAAGCTGTTAAGAGCCTGGATTCTGCAGCCACTTAGGGCCCTTTTACACAATCACCTATGCTGAGCAGCCTGCAATGCAGTCACCCAAAAAGATTTAACCGGCCTCCAAGGTGTTGCATGTACAATTGTTAATTCAGAAACCAGGGGTGATAACATTTGCTGCCTCTTGAATCCTTTGTATTTCATGCAAGGGAAAAGTAAACGTGCAAACCAAGTAGCAGGGTTAGCTCTGGTGGGCATATCTCCCAATTCCATAAACAGTCACCAGGTAAGTCAAGAAAGAGGTGTGGCAAGAGGCAGGATTTTGATCTCACTTGTAGTGTAACAATTATAATGGAAAATATGGATTGATATAATAGTTAGAGTGCGGAAGAAGAAGCAGTTTTAATTGTTTAAAATGGGACTCCAGGGAGGGGGTAAGTCCTGAGATTCGGACGAATCTCTGTATATGGTTATGTATTTGAAATTTTAAATAATTTTGTATTGCAAAATCAAGTAAAAAGTGATGATGATGATTTTTTAAGAGTCACATCCAGACATTATGAAGTGGTTCTCTGTGCACATGAGTACAGTCGTACCTTGGAAGTCGAACGGAACCCATTCTGGAAGTCCGTTCGACTTCCAGAACGTTCGGAAACCAAAGCGCAGCTTCTGATTGGCAGCAGGAAGCCCTGTCAGACGTTCGGCTTCCAAAAATAGTTCGCAAACCGGAACAGTCTCTTCTGGGTTTGCGGCGTTTGGGAGCCAAAATGTTCAGGAATTAAGCTGTTCCAAACAGTACAAGTACAACTGTATTTGATCAAGTGAGGCTGAGCAGTAGGAGGTCAGCAAAGCATATGCACAGCTTCGAAAACAGCCTGGAAGCCACTGCTCCTGCCCAGGGAAGCTGGAATCCCAAGCAGAATGTCAAAGAAATGCCAACCTGCAGAACGTAAACTCCTCACGCTTCGAAAACATCACTTTGAAGCAGAATAAACATTTTAAGAAATAAATCAATAGATCAAAGAATGCTAGCAGGGTGTAATTGAATAGGAAGTGTACTGGACATTCTACTGAAAGTTTAAGATTCTAAACCAAAAATGTTTTTTTTAAACAACAACAAATTGGAAGCCTGCATTTATTTATTTTTTAATGTGCAATACAACTGCTGGCAGCCTGTAAATGTCACAAGCTAGAAGCTGGCTCCACTCTGCTGCAATTGCTATTGCCAGTTCAGCAGCTTGCAGTCCTATAAAACGTGGAACACAACCAGACTGTGCCTACAGACACCTTTGTTAGAATTAAAAACACAGGGTGATAGCTACCCGAAGTCACGCACAGCCTAGAGACCCACCAAAATGAATAGACTTGAGTTCATTTATTTCAATTGTCTTTTCAGAGTATGAGTAATTTTGGATATCATTCATTTACAAATATGCTCGTTTGTGAACGGCAAACATTTTGAGGAGGGTGCTTAAATGTGCATTGCGCAAAGCGGAACAAGCAGTATTCAGGATATAGGAAAACTAGAATTGGAATAAATTGTAATTTTTGAGGGCGGGAGGAGGAAGTTATTATTGTGGAAAAATTCAGAAACCACACTCAAAATTGTGAATAACCAATCCATGTATGCTTGATACTCTAACAGGATCTCTTGATCTTTCTAAAACGAATCTGCAAGAACCTATGTGTTCATACAGGGCAACCCTCTCCTGTCCTATATTTCTGTGCAAGTATATGGGAAAGCTGGCTGTCCGTAGCAATCTGCCATGCAGTAAGCAAGCATCAGGGGAAAAAACAATGCTGTCCAGGCCTGTAAAGACTGCGGATAGAATAATTGGGTGCACTCTTCCCACCTTGGATCAAATCTATGCTTCCAGGTGCCGTAAGAAAGCGGCAGAGATAGCGCAGGATAGTGCACACCCCAGAAATGATCTCTTTCAGCTTCTGCCTTCTGGAAGAAGGTACAGGGTAATAAAGACTAGGACTGGCCGCCTGAGAAACAGTTTCTACCCAAATGCGATTTTGGTTTTAAACGTAGTGTAAGGTAGTCTCTATGGAAGTATATTGTACGGTATTTAGAAATGGGGTATCAGAGTTTTTAGGGGGCTAACCAGGTTGGGATAGCTGGGATAGCAGGCTTGTTGGTTTTTGAATGTCTGATGTAGTTTTTTCCAATTTCGTTGTTCTGTATGGGACAATGACAATAAAGATTATCGTATCGTATCAGCAACTGGGACAATTCCACGCCTCTCCTGCTACATCCTCTAGGTGCCATTCCGCTAGAGTAGTGAGGTGCGAACGAGCCCTGGCTGTAGCTGCAGAACTTGGCAGCAGCCCAGCTTGGAAAGTGGTGGCAGGGCCTAACCCACCAGCCTTCACTGCTTCCTCAAAGTGAGCCTACAGTAAAATGACTTACTGACTAAAGCTCTGCACAACCTGCAGATGAAGAACTGAAGGGCCTCAGTGGTATTAGCAAAGGTAACATGAAATTACAAAAGCTGCTGTCTGCACAACTTGGATCAATGACGCCTGAGGCTTTCCTTTTTTTTTTTTAATAAATTTTTATTAATTTTCCATAAGTAAAAAAGAAAGCAAAACAAAAACATAGATCAAGACAAAAACTACTTCCCCGTATCACCCCTTTTCTGCATTCTTGTTTCAAGATTTTTCAGCAACCCTTTCATATTAAACTTATTTCTATTTCGTAAATTTAACTTCCATAAGATATTAAAACAACTGTAGTTCTTTATCTCTTATTACCCTGATCCTCTAATTTTCCAAATTACAACAGTTTTTAAGATAAACTTTAAACGCCTGAGGCTTTCCAGCCCTGAGACAACTGTGCCAATGTGATCCATTGGAGAGCTCCGGCGCTTTCTGCAAGGGATCTTCAAATCCATCAGGTCTCGTGTTGCTTCCCTGGCGCACTGAAACGTTTTTGCTGCCACAAGTGACTACTTGGGCTGTTTTTTGCAGTCAGATTACCCCCCTCTACGCATTAAATAACAAAGGCGGGCCAAAGGAGTATCTTACTGGGAAATGGATTCTGTAATAGCATACAATCTTGGACTATAGTCCATGAACGCTTATGCCATAAGTTTGCTGGCTTTTAAAACGCCATCTTTTAGTTGCTGTTACAACAGCCTAACACTGCTACCCCTCTTGAAACTGATTCTTTAGTAAGCATTTTGACAGGATAAATATTGAACTTCCAAGCTGCTTGAGGGACGCTATTCTCTTATTTAGAATTTGTTCGGCACACAGCTGTCAAGAACTGCTTGGAAAAAAACGCGTCCACAAATGCAAAGAACACAAATGTACCTTTGCTAAGCTACGTTTGATAAAGAATGGCAGAAATAGCTTTGCTGTTGTCATTTTTTTAATCACACGTGCCCCTAGGGAATGTACAACAGAGAGCAAGAACGAGACAGTTAGGTATTTTTGTTTCGGAAACTCGCACCTCTAACTGCTGTAAAAAAATGCCAGCTTCTAGCTAACTCCAGGATGCCCAAGGGCAAGCCAGGAAGCTGGCTAGAGGGAGTGTGTGTCAAAGGGGGGAAATGGAAATTAGATTTTATCTTCCCACACTCCAGCATCTGCCAGTTTGTCAGAGACTGGCAACGGCTATAGATGCCGTTCCAACTGCTGGCAAGCTGCACTGGGCAGACGAAGAGAGTTGGGGAGAATCCAGGATTTGCAACAGGAAGGGAAGAGGGGAGCCAAATGAAAGGAGGGAGGGAGAAAGCAGCTTGGAGGAATGAGATGTTTCTTTTTCTGCGTTGCGGTGAAAAGAGATCTAAGGCTTAATCCCCCCCCCAGGCCTCTTCCCAGCAGAAACAAAGCCCAAATTCACTTAAATCCATTTGTGTGCATTCACATTCCTCTTCAGCCTAGCCTCCGCATCCTTTCCAACCCCCAACCAACCCACCATCAAAATGTATACTGTGAGCTCCTTGGAAGAAAGTGGCTTTCTCCCCCCCACCCCCAGTATTGCCCAGTTAAGCCAGTGTGGTGTAAGAGGGCTGTGTATCTGACACAGTAGCTGGTAGACCAGGGTTCAAAACCCCCATTCGGCCATGTGAGTCACCTTGAGACAGTCCCGACCTGCCCTCGTAGGGTTGCTGTGAGGAAAGGCACGAGAGTGACATGCGTCACCTTGAGCTCTTTTGAGGAATGGTGTGATATAAATGTAAGGGGGGGGGGAATGTGCACCTTGACACCAGTTGCAATGGCCACTTGAATGCAGACCTCGCTTTGCAATTCTGATTATAACCATCTGCAGAAATAAAGCTCTGGACCCTTTGGATCCTTGCAGGGTTTCCAGAGTGATCCACAGCAGAGATAATGTGGCAGGAAGGGAGGTGAGGAAAGAAGGAAAGTGGGAGGACTTGGTCAGTGGGCAGGAGTGCTTATACTCTCCTGCACCCATCTCTCCCACAAAAACGCCCCTCACGGGCCAGAATTAAAAGCTGGCAGTGATCTACCCCCTCTTTGTGGTTCAGGTCAAAGTTGTTGTTGAGCTTTTTTTTAGAGACAAAAGCCCCGTTTTTGGGGAGATCAAGGCTAAGCTCTTGGAAGGGCCACTCACAGACTGCCTACGGCTTGCCGATCAGAAGGTTGGTGGTTCAAATCCCCGCGACGGGGTGAGCACCCGTTGCTCGGTCCCAGATCCTGCCAACCTAGCAGTTCGAAAGCATGTCAAAGTGCAAGTAGATAAATAGGTACTGCTCCGGCGGGAAGGTAAATGGCGTTTCCGTGCGCTGCTCTGGTTTCGCCAGAAGCGGCTTAGTCATGCTGGCCACATGACCCGGAAAAAACTGTCTGCAGACAAACATCGGCTCTCATTGGCTTTACTGGCTCCCTCGGCCAGCAAAGCAAGATGAGTACCACAACCCCAGAGTCAGGGGCTCTTTATCTTTTTTAAGGAAAGGGACCCAGCGATCGACCGTGATCTACCAAAACCTCCCAGGGATCTACCAGTAGATCGCGATCGACCTGTTGGACATCCTTGCACTAAGCAATCCGAAGCAAACTTTCTAATTCGATGGAAGGGGAGGGGGGGAAATATCATAGAATCATAGAGTTGGAAGAGACCACAAGGGCCATCGAGTCCAACCCCCTGCCAAGCAGGAAACACCATCAGAGCACTCCTGACATATGGTTGTCAAGCCTCTGCTTAAAGACCTCCAAAGAAGGAGACCCCACCACACTCCTTGGCAGAAAATTCCACTGTCGAACAGCTCTTACTGTCAGGAAGTTCTTCCTAATGTTTAGGTGGAATCTTCTTTCTTGTAGTTTGGATCCATTGCTCCGTGTCCGCTTCTCTGGAGCAGCAGAAAACAACCTTTCTCCCTCCTCTATGTGACATCCTTTTATATATTTGAACATGGCTATCATATCACCCCTTAACCTCCTCTTCTCCAGGCTAAACATGCCCAGCTCCCTTAGCCGTTCCTCATAAGGCATCGTTTCCAGGCCTTTGACCATTTTGGTTGCCCTCCTCTGGACACGTTCCAGTTTGTCAGTGTCCTTCTTGAACTGTGGTGCCCAGAACTGGACACAGTACTCCAGGTGAGGTCTGACCAGAGCAGAATACAGTGGCACTATTACTTCCCTTGATCTAGATGCTATACTCCTATTGATGCAGCCCAGAATTGCATTGGCTTTTTTTAGCTGCCGCGTCACACTGTTGGCTCATGTCAAGTTTGTGGTCAACCAAGACTCCTAGATCCTTTTCACATGTACTGCTCTCAAGCCAGGTGTCCCCCATCTTGTATTTGTGCCTCTCATTTTTTTTGCCCAAGTGCAATACTTTACATTTCTCCCTGTTAAAATTCATCTTGTTTGTTTTGGCCCAGTTCTCTAATCTGTCAAGGTCGTTTTGAAGTGTGATCCTGTCCTCTGGGGTGTTAGCCACCCCTCCCAGTTTGGTGTCATCTGCAAATTTGATCAGGGTGCCCTTGAGTCCATCATCCAAGTCATTGATAAAGATGTTGAATAAGACCGGGCCCAAGACAGAACCCTGTGGCACCCCACTAGTCACTCTTCTCCAGGATGATATCAGAGTTTACGGCACCGGTTATGGAAATGCAATCTGCAAACACTTAAACCACTACTTACCCTGATATAGATGAAAACTATAGATAAATTTATATATAAATAAATGCCTGCTATCTGCAATGGAAGGAAAGCTCCAGTTGGTATGCATGGGAACTCCCTCCCCCATTAAAAGGGGTGGGGCGTGTATGAGGATTCTGACTGGAAACGTGGTGGGGGCAAAAAAATAAAAATAAAACCCTCCTAATATGATGGGCCCTCATGTGCCAAAAAAGCCAAAACAGCCACATAAGGCTTAAAAACACGAGGAATGCCAAGCCTTGTTTGGCTGCAAGTCTGCTAGGCAATTCATAACAAAGGAAAAGCCTGGTTCAAAAGTCTTTGCTAGATTGTACCTTGCATGTTTTGGCTATCTTCAAGGGGCAATGTGTGTAGCAATGAGCTAGAATTAAAAGTGCATCTCCTAATAATATGCAGAGATCCGCTTAAGCAGCAAGACTCCCTGTTTGTCTTTTCCCCGTTCCAGCCTCCTGTGTGTGCCTCCAAATCTGCTCTGGAGAGCCTTCCATTCCCTCGGAGAAGATTTTGGGTGTACAGTGGACTGAAGGAGGAAGGAGGGAGATGCCCCACTGAATAGATGCCTGCTCACACTATGTTGGATCTCACTCTTTGCACAAAGGGGCTTACGTTTTCAAAGGCTCTTCTACATATGATATATTAAAAGATGCAGTTGGCCACGTAGCTACTGGCCACATAAATTCTCCTGGTATAGAGACAGCCAAAACACATCAATACTCATTAAATCATAACCACGCCCTCTTCCATCTTTCCTGTTATTGGTGTGGCTCTCTATTCCACTTTGATTTGGAATATGCACTCATGGATACACTGGGCTGAAGTTAGAAACAGCCACCTCTGATGGTTTCTAACACCCACTGACAATCCGCAATTATCTGTTCCACTTAAGCAGTACCAGAGGAGACGCAGACGCACCGCGGAGATGTGTGACTGTAACTAAGGGTTCAAAAGGAAAGAGGGGAGAATGGCAAACGTCACAAAGAGGAACGTACCAAGTGCGAAGAGCCGTTATTGGCCACCGTGGGGAGGCTGGCCCATCTCTCATTCTCCAGTTCCTCCATGACTTGATTCATTGCACTTTTTAGCCAGGTGTCCACTGAAACCCCAATCTGCTTCAAAAGGTCGAGTCGAGCTTCTGCTTTCAGCTTTATTATCTGTTGGTGGAAGGGGAAAGAGAAAGCAATTAGGCCTCCTGCACTTCCTGAGGCACTTGCTTGAAGAAGATTGACGTCAGCAAGAAGATGATGATGATGACAATAATAATACAGTGGTGCCTCGCAAGACGAAAATAATCCGTTCCGCGAGTCTCTTCGTCTAGCAGTTTTTTCGTCTTGCGAAGCAACCCTATTAGCGGCTTAGCACTATTAGCGGTTTAGCGGCTTAGCGGCTATTAAAGGCTTAGCGGCTAAAAGGCTATTAGCGGCTATTAAAGGCTTAGCTGCTTAGCGGCTAAAAGGCTATTAGCGGCTTAGAAAAAGGGGGGGGGAACGAAAAAAATCGCAAGCAACCCCATAGGGAAAATCGTCTTGCGAAGCGCATCGAAAAACGGAAAACCCTTTCGTCTAGCGGGTTTTTCGTCTTGCGAGGCATTCGTCTTGCGGGGCACCACTGTAATAATAATAATAATAATAATAATAATAATAATAATAATAATAATAATTTATTTATACCCCGCTCATCTGGCTGGGCTTCCCCAGCCACTCTGGGCGGCTTCCAACAAAATATTAAAATACCATAATACATCAAACATTAAAAGCTTCCCTAAACAGGTTTTGAATGAAGTACCTAAAAGGTTTTGAATGAAGTACTTAAAAGACTTGTTCTCCCTCCCATCCACCATTTTGGGCCCTTCGATTAGCAGCAAAGGTCCTGCCTTCGGTGCCAGTGCTGAGTGGCGCCGACCCGTAACAGAGCCTTAATGGTGGCAGTTCCACCTTTTGTGGAATACACCCTCTTTGGTGAGCTGCACCTGCCTCCCTCATTATTAGCATTCAGGAGGAATTTAAAAACACTCCTGTTCATTCAGGCATTTGATGGCTAAAAGAGACTGTCCCTGGTAATCTTGAAATGATTAGCTGCGAGGGTGTGTGACTGCTTTTAAAGGGCTGATTTAAATAAGTCTTTTATTTATGGTTTTGTTCTCCTGCTCGGTTGCTTGCCACCCCGGGCTCCTCTGGGAATCATAGAGTTGCAGAGTCACAAGGGGCCCAGAGGGTCATCCAGTCCAACCCCCCCCCCCCCGCAATGCAGGAATCTCAACTAAAGGGAGATGGGGAGCAATAGAAATCTAATTAATAAATTTCATTCTGCAGCATCTGTAGTACAGAGTTATGGAAGCATTTGCCAAAATACTGTATTTATTCCGAAAATGATTTCTAGATTGCCCTTAATCATATGATTCAAAAGTTATGTTACAATACAAATAAAACTGTGTGTGCAGGGGGAGATGTACAGATCACAACTCTGCACATTCGTGATCACAGCCGACTAACATATTTACTATTAGTTGCTGTTTGGTTTGAAGGTAGCTCTTAAAAAATAGCTCCGCGCAACGCCCCCCCCCCCCTGCATATAGAAAAATAAAAGCTGAATAATACAAGCTCAGAATTCTGAGATCTGCTGGTTGTTTGAGGGCTTCAGTTCAGTGGTTAAGAATATGATTTGCATACAGAGGGTCTGTGTTGAATCTCTGGTACGTCCCGGCTAAAAGGAACACTATAGAAGGGCTGGGGAAGACCTCTCTCTCTGTGCCTGAGACCGTGGAGAGCAGCTGCCATTACTTGGCTAGATGGACAAATAGCCTGGTCTCAATGTAAGGCAGTTTCAAATGCTGTCAAAACCTTAAAGCAAAGTGTTAAAAGCTTCGGAAACTAGAAGGAAAGCAGAAGAGAGCAGACATCCCTTGCTTTTCAAACTCAAAGACGAAGCAACAATTTTCACACATTACTGTGCCCATCTCATGGCTCACTGCCAGTACTACAACCATCTCTTCGGAAACTTTAAATACAGCAAAGCAGTCTGGAAGGACTTCTCTCAAATATGCCCAAAGTTCAAAGAGATGGCCCAGAAGTGGCCCAGAAAAGGATTGTGAAACTAGGACATTTTACTGCAATGTTATCCTTGGGTGGGCAGTGTTTGGGACACCTTGCCCACGATACCTCAACCTCTTGAGAAAAAATTATTGCCACAATTCATTCATTCATTGCTTTCTCAAACACCATCTCAAGGTGATTAACACACAGGAGTTGAAAACACCAAAGCAACAAATACATTTAAAACAAGGCTAAAACCCTAGCAAGTGGACACGCGGTAAGGATCCATTCATCCGACAGGGAAAGCCTGTAAGAACAAAAATGTCTTCAACTGCTTCCAGAAAGTGAGGCACCCGTTGTATCTCAACAGAAATGCTATTCCAGAAAACCTCAGTGTTCTTTCCTTGATGAATGTTGCGTAAGTGTTGTTGACACTCCCTATATACCACCTCGATTTATCTACGAAATAAAAACGAAGGGTTCCCACAGAGAGCAAACTGTGAACCCTACAACACACCACTGCCTTTAACAAAAGCCCAAGGCCCACGCAGATACCCCCCCCACTCCATATAAAGGTAAAGGGACCCCTGACCATTAGGGCCAGTCGTGACCGACTCTAGGGTTGCGGCACTCATCTTGCTTTATTGGCCGAGGGAGACGGTGTACAACTTCCGGGTCATGTGGCCAGCATGACTAAGCCGCTTCTGGCAAACCAGAGCAGTGCATGGAAATGCCGTTTACCTTCCCGCCGGAGTGGTACCTATTTATCTACTTGCACTTTGACGTGCTTTTGAACTGCTAGGTTGGCAGGAGCAGGGACCGAGAAATGGGAGCTCACCCCATTGCGGGGATTCAAACCGCCGACCTTCTGATCGGCAAGCCCTAGAGGCTTAGCGGTTTAACCCACAGCGCCACCCACATCCCTTGGCCACCCGTGTCCCTTCGCCACTCCATATACGATGCACCTAAAGTTGCCTTGGTCCTCTACCCTGTATACCCACATGTTGGACTTCACATGGGACAAAAAGTCTAGAGGTTATCAAAAGAGGACCCTATTTGTGTGATCTTCACTACAGGATGGAGGAGCACCCGTTCACGGATGTCAGGTGAGGCGGGACATGATCCCCATCAAATCTGACACGTGGCGGCAGGATGTCTGCATAAGGGTTAAAGGTACACTGCTGGTTTGGGAGCAGCTTGCCAGTGCTCACCATCCCTTCCAGAAATAGTAGGAGACAACAACAACTCTTTCCATGTAGTGATTTAGACAAGGAAGTGACTCATGAGACCAATCCAGCATCGCTTGAACGTTCCGTGGGAAGCAGACTTCATAGTAGTGTGCCCTTGAATCGGAGGGGGTGGGGGGGGGAGAGGTTCCCACTTCATTGACCCCAATTTGCAAGGCCTGACAGTGACAAGCATGTGTTTTTCAACAAGTACAGCAACCGAAAAGGCACTGGAACACACCATGTAAAAAAACCAGGTTATACTCCTATTAAGGATTGGAAGGAGGGAATAGAGGAGTGGATGATGGGAGCAAGAGTTCAGGGCAGCTTTCTGTGGGAAAGAGCACGGCTACTGAACCAGGAAAAGGTTTCTGCGTCGCAGCCGCTCAGGCAATGTTGCTTATCGCCGAACCATCGGATTAATGATTCAAGGCCACAGATGCCGATTCTCACGGGCAAACGTCTCAAACGAGAAATCAAAATTCTCTCATGCGACAGCGAATGCGTGCCCTCACACCGTTTGCCTCCAACTTGCATTAAAATGCAGAGTGTCAGGTGGCAATGGTGGTTGCTCGCGAGTAACCAGTCAGGACTCCGACCTGTCTTTTACAGGTTTTATTTGGGTGCAAAACTATTTACAGTGCAGAACCACAAGTTCATGTCTGCCTCAATCGCTAGCAGAATCCGGGAGTGGTCGTTTCAGGGTCCTCCCCCAACATAAGAGCTTAGTCACCCCCAGCCTTCTCCTTCCTTCTTTGCGTTTTACACCTCTGTGCAAAGTGGGCGACGGAAGAGGCGTGCTTCCCTCCTGGCCGGCTTGGCCAGGAGTGGTGCTGAGGCTCCCATCATCCTCCTCTAGCCCTTTCCCCTCCTTTACCTGGGAGGTGTGGCTTTCCCCACCCTCAGACTGACCAGGTGCAGCGCTGGGGCTCCCAGCAGCATCCTCTGGTCCCCTCCCCTCTTCCCCACTGGAGGTGTGGCTTTCCCCACCGCAGGAAGAGGAGGAGGAGGAACAAGAAGAAGAAGAAGAAGAAGAAGAGGAGGAGGAGGAGTTTGGATTTGATATCCCGCCTTTCACTCCCTTTAAGTGCTTCAGGTTAAGAAGAGTTTCAGGTTAAGTACGGACCTCCGGAACGAATTAAGTACTTAACCCGAGGTACCACTGTAAAACTGACTTACTGTGTACCAAAATGATGCAAACCTGAATTCCCGTGTTGCGAAATGATGCATGTTCAAAAGGTGTGTTGCCAACCTGAAAAGTTCGGAAAGCTCTGAAGGTGGACTAAGGTAGAGGCTTTTAAACTGCGGTTGCCAAACTGTCACCCAGAAATCTGCACATACAGTAGTTGCAACTGAAGAAGAGTTTGGATTTGATATCCCGCTTTATCACTACCCGAAGGAGTCTCAAAGCGGCTCACATTCTCCTTTCCCTTCCTCCCCCACAACAATCACTCTGTGAGGTGAGTGGGGCTGAGAGACTTCAAAGAAGTGTGACTGGCCCAAGGTCACCCAGCAGCTGCATGTGGAGGAGCGGAGACGCGAACCCGGTTCCCCAGATTACGAGACTACCGCTCTTAACCACTACACCACACTGGCTTTGCAAGATTTTTCGGAGGTTCCCTGTATCCCAACTGCCCCTCTGCCTCCCTTCCCTGTTCCGGTGGCAGTCCCCTGACACCGAGGATCCAATCGAAGGCAGCAAGAGGAAACAAGGAACCGGTAAGATACCACAGCATGGACTATGTTAAGGGGAACTGCCGCAGGCTGAGAACGTGGCCGGTATCTTCTGTGCATGCGCAAGACTGATAATCTACTAGGAGAAGTGGTACCTCAGGTGGGGAAGAACCAATGCACTTCCACCACAGAAACACAGTTTTTAACGCCCCTTACAAAGTG